GCCGTTCGCGTACAGCGCCCGCTCGTCTGGAGGGAACTCGGGGTCGCGGTACTTCCGACCGCGCACGCGGCAGGAAGCGGCTATCTCCTGCTGGCGCGGGGGCGAGGATGCCCCTCTCGGCACTTCGCAGCCAGCGTGCAGACGTGCCCTCTTGCTGCTCGCAGCTCCCCTCTGACACCGCTGGCGAGGACACCCCAGGCGCCAGGAACTTGCTCTAACTGTGTTTCGAGAGCAACATGCTCGATACAATCATCCGCATTGGCGGCGTGCACTGAGCAAAAGAAGAAGAAGAAGAAGACAGAACACGAATAATAATAAGAAAAATAAACAAATAGAGCGAACGATGAATAAACGCGGCAAGGACAGAGGACAGAGGCTGTGTGGACATCACCAAGGAGTGCAGGAGCTCTCGTGTTCTGGCTAACAGTATCGATTACCCTTCTTACGACGAAGATTCACCTGGCAGGCCAAGCGCAATTAGTCGGGCCGAACAACGGAAAATTGAGAGAACGCCAGGCAGCAGCAGCAGCAGTCGCGACGACCAATCGAGGGGTAAGCATGAGCATTCATGCTGAATCCCATGGCGCATGAGTGTGCCGCGGGTGTGCATGCACGTGTACGTCCGCAGAGCACGCGCTCGCGTGTGCGCATAAGCATGGGCATTCCCCGACAAGGAGCGGTCCTGGACGTCTCTGCGGCACTGGGCCACGCACTCGTCAAGCTGCAGCGTGCACCCCGTCGGCTCCTGCGATTTGGTACGGAAGCAAGCGTCTCTCAAAGCTGGAAAAGAAGAAGTGAATCGGGGAGTCCGTCGACCCCCACTTGCCAGGAATGAAAAGGCGTGCGAGACATTTGGCTGCCACCCTCCCCCACTCCCCCTCCCCTGGGGTCAAATATCCCAGAGACAGTGGAGAGGTACGAGCTCGCCAACGCACCTCTGAGGCCCTCGGAGCTTCCTAATCCAGCCTCCGTGGCAACCAAGATGCTCAAGATGCCTTCTAAGATGCTTCCGGAAGGGCTCCAACACACCACAAAGGGCTCAAGAACCCCCAAGATGGCCTGAAGGCAGGGTGTGGGAGTCTCGGGGCACATTAGAATTTAAAAATTGAGGTCGTGGGCGGCTTGGGGATTCCAGCAAAGGAGAGATTTGGAAGGTCGAGGCGGCTCGGGCGTGGTGAAATTCATCGTTGGCGGAAGCAAGAAGGAGGAGAAAATAAGTACCAGATAAGTGCGTGCCACGGGTTTCCTGTAGGGATTGTGCGGTCCGCTTGTCCTCCAGATCCGAAGGATAAAGTGACGTCCTGATGCGCTCAACAGATGAGGAAGAAGAGGAAGAGGAAGAAAAAGAAGAAGAAGAAGAAGAACACTTTCACTGGGTTTCGACCAAAGACACGATGCTGCGTCCCTGCTCCACAAGCGCTACTCTGGAAAAGAGGAAGTGGCGGTGGGGAAAGGGGGGAAGGGGGAAAAGGATCTACTCCCATCACTCTGGTCTCGGAGGGCCAGTCGTGTGATCCCAGCATCGCCGGCAAACTCTCGATACGGCGCTGCGGCTGGCGAAGGTGATGGAGTCTCGACTTCGAAACCGTGTAGAGCCACCATCCAGGAAGGCGAGTGTGAGCAGGAGTTGTGACAACGAGGAGGCCGACGAGGAGAAGGAATGGATGAAGTATGAAGGAAAGACTAAAAAGATGGAGTGGAGGAGAAGGCGGAGTGGAAGGAGGAGGAGGAGGAGCCGGTAAGAAGCGGAAGCAAGAGGAGGAGGATGAGGAATGCACTGAAAACTGTCCACTCATCCTCCTCCTCCTCCTCTTCCTCCTCCTCCTCATCCTTCTCCTCATCCTCCTCGCCAACGGCGCACTTCCCTCAGTGGAAATGAACCCTTGTAGGGAGCCTCTGAAGAGGGAGCTTGGAGGGCCCTGGTCCTCCTCCTCCTCCTCCTCCTCCTCCTCCGCCTCCTCCGTCTTCTTATTCTGGACAGAGTTGGACGAGCGAGAAGAGGAGAAGGAGCAGGTACAGGCTGAGGAACGACGAACCGACGACCGACCCCCGTCCCCCGTCCCCGCCACCTCCTCCCCCTCCCGGGCCGCCTGAACAAGTGCGCTGCTTTCGTTGCCTCACTTCCTCTTACCCGCCGGTCTGGGTCAGGTGCGGTTGCCCGCAAGCCGCGGGGGTGCACAGGTACACGCGGACTGGACGGCGCCCTCACACGCCTGACCCCGTTGGCCCCCAGTCCTAAAGAGGGAAGGGTGCCGGGGTCCCGGTTGCAGCGGAGGGAGGAAGGGAAGAAGGAAGGGACGGAGCGGCTCTGCTCTGCAGTGGAGGCGCAGGACGCCCTGCCGTCCTGGGAGACGCCCAGCGCGGGTGCCCCGATTCTTCCAAGCACGCCCTCGCGGCCGCGCGCCTCGGCGCCAGGGGAAGCCGTCGCCGCCCCCGTTGCCGCCTCCGCCGCCGCCGCCACCGCCGCCTCCGCCGCCGCCGCCGCGGTGGCCGCCGCGGC